GCTCATAAATATAATACCTAAAACAGCTTCGGGCCTGAGTCTCGCAACATCAAGAGCGACATCAACGATGGGCTGCGGTTACAATTTTCCATCCAACCGAGCGCCCTTGGCCGCTATTGGCCGCTCAAATTGACGCGCAACCATCACTCGGCTCGCTGCGGTTCAGTGAGATGTGTATTGCGTTGACAATTGGAAAAGTGACGCAAATTAGACAAAAACGGTTTTCACAGCGAAACGGCCAACCAAACACGTCTACGTACCAGTGCCATGTAGCCGGCAACACATTGTGATTCGGATTTATAGACAGGTCAACTGTGCCGGCAAACCGAGTCAGCCGGCGAACGGGGACTTAGCCGTCATTACAGGGACAGCGCCCAGCACCGAGGGCGAACGGCGCGACGTCAGGGCTGCAGAACCAGGTGACCCGAAGCCCACCTGCCGCCACGCGAGCGTCGTCGATAACAGCGACGACAAACTTGCCCCAGAGATGGAAGCACTCTCGAGGGACATCACCTGCGCGGCGATCGAAGTACACCTTCGTCGCTCAGAGGCCGTGAAAACAACTGAGTCCGTCCAAAGAGCAGCATTAAGCTGGCAGACGCTATGCTACGCTCACCGCATCCAACAGAGTCATCTGGTCCTTTCCGAAAGCTTCCGGGCGAGGAGCGAGGTGACCGCGCTGAGTCCTGTCATCCGCAGGTCACTGGGCCAGTGCCTGGACGGCCCGGCGGCCGCTCTCTTACCGGGGCCTCCAGACTCGCCACTCTCATGTTCTGCTTCGCGTGTTATCCGCTCGCTCCACTCCAACCGGCCTGCGGACTCACGTTTCGCCTGACCCCCCGTGCACCGGCCCACAATCGCTGCCGTGCCCGCCGTGTCCGCGGCCGGTCCCCCCCGGCAGTGGGCACCATCCCAGTCCGCACTCCCCAGCGGCTCTTTTTCCGCCGTTTTGCTGTTCGCCGTCCGCCGGACGGCGGCGGGCCGCCAGCAGGAGGCACCACGCCCGTCACAATGCTCGTCGACACGAAGCCCGGGTAGCTCGTCTTCTGCCAGGAGGTGTCCTTGGCCGCCGTGAACTGAGGAGGCGGACGGTCTGTCAGCGAGCGGTGCAAATGGTCACGGCACATAACGCGCATCAGGCACCACTTAGCCATGTGGCGAAGAACAGACAATGTAAGACACTGTACACTGGTCAAAAGCTAGGTATATTGCTTAACTACGCACAAGGTTATAGCGTTGTAACGCATATGCATTGTACTCGGCTTGTGTTACAACTCGTTAGTCGAGTTCAAACAGGTAGTCGTCAAGTCATCGCGTGCTGTTTACAAGTTTTTGGTCGGCGCCGTTGATGATAGCACATTTGTTATTGTCATATCAACATGATTCTAGAACACAGGGGTGAGTGAGACTCCACGCGACCGTGTGACGTCTCTTGCCTGCCGACGCCCCAGTCCCCGCCGTCAGCCCTACCGTTGACATGTACTGCGCCTTGAACGCCTGCTTCATAGCCGACAGACGCTCGCTGGCCGGCCCGCGGCCGCTAGGGGCGCTGGCGTCGGCGGGACCCGCCGCTGCCGCCTCGGCCGGCGCCCCGTACGTGCCACCTAACGTCGAACCCGCCGAACCTGTCGTCTGCGAACGGCGGCACACAACAGCTGGTCTGTGTTGTGTCAAACAGTATGGTGTGGTCATGATGAGATTACTGACTTGGAGCTTGCGGGCGTGTCAGCAGAGCAAAACCATTCGGCGGACACTTCTGTACATAGATGGACGCCGTAGATTGTGTACAGCGGTCTTCAGGGAGCGGCAACCTAGAAACGACGGTACAAAAACTAGATTTCCAGCCTGGTCCGACTCCAGCCCGACGCCGCCATGCTACCTAAGGCCGAGCAAGGCACAAAGCACGGCAAGGCAAGGCAAGCAAGGCAAGGCAAGGCAAGGCAAGGCAAGGCAAGGCAAGGCAAGGCAAGGCAAGGCAAGGCAAGGCAAGGCAAGGCAAGGCAAGGCAGCAAGGCACACAGCGAGGTCAGGTGAGGCGAGGCGAGGCAAGGCAAGGCAAGGCGAGGTGAGGCGAGGCGAGGCGAGGCGTGGCAAGACATGGCAAGGCAAGGCGAGACGAGGAAAAAACGGCGAGGCAAGGCTGAGTAAAACAAGAAAAGGCTCGCAAAGACATAGGCAGGCGAGGCCTGGTCATACCTCAGTAGGTTCCGAGGCAGCTGCCAGCCCCGGCCGCTCCCGGTAGCCAAGACCACGGCCGCCCACGTTAAGGTTCTTGCCCTGACCGGACTTGAAGCGAGACTTGCGAAACCAGGCGTTCTGAAACAGCCCGCAGTGCCACGCATCAAAAACGAACAGCTGCGGTCTTCGTGGGTCAACGCGGATGTGCCTAAAAGACGACCTGGACACGAGACCAGCGGTCGCAGACGGGGACATCAGCATTTAGATCATCAGTCAAGGCATCTGGGTCATCAGTCAAGGCACCAGCGTCATCCGCCACGGCGTCAGGGTCATCCGTCAAGGTATCCGGGCCACCAGAACACTACGGGCCAGCTGGGTTCACCACAAATGTCTGGAGACACGGCCTGCTGTGGAGCCATTTCCCGCGTCAAGCGCCCCACTCAGACCAACGCGGACGTCACGGAAAGCCCCGCTCGTGCGGCACGCATCGCCAGGCCGCCACTGTCGGAGCGCCCGGCAGGTGACGTGTCTGCCGCCGGGCCAGGCGCCACCCACCTGCATGGCCTGCTCCATCAGCTGCTCGGGCACCTCCTGTCCGGCGCCCTCAAGGTTGCGCACCAGGTGAGCGGCGAAGTCCTTGTCGCGCGGCGTCACCAGCGTGTAGGCGGTACCCTTCTGCCCGGCGCGGCCTGCCGCAGGCGGGCGTTACAAGCCGCGCACTCACATGCCACACTCCTCCGCCAAGGCCGCGCACCAGTTGGTGGTCTGTGAGTGCGCGCGACAGCTCGTCCGCAATACCAAGCGCGGTGTGGGAGCGTTGTGTCTGGGGTGTGCGCGCTGCGATCACATCTCTCATAGAGCTCCGTCTGGCGTACTCGGCGGTGCACGACAGAGCACAAGCCGACTCCTGCGCGACGCTCACCACTGCACGCACACATCTTTTCACTCCCAGGGAACATTCCCTCACATGGCAGCGCTGTCTCCCACCTGTGCGTCCGATGCGGTGCGTGTGCGTGTCGATGTCGCGCGCCACGTCGTAGTTGACCACAGTGCGGATGTGCGGGATGTCCAGCCCGCGCGCAGCCACGTCCGTCGCCACCAGGATCGGCACCTGCTTCTGCTTGAAGCAAGTGATGATCCGGTTCCGCTCCACCTGCGGCGCAGTCCAACCAGCGCCGGGTCAACTCAGCTCAGCTCAGCTCAGCTCAGCTCATCTCAGCACAGCACAGCACAGCATAGCAAGCACAGTCCAGCTCAGCATAACTCAGCTCAGCTCAGCTCAGCTCAGCTCAGCTCAGCACAGCACAGCACAGCACAGCACAGTACAGCACAGCAAGCACAGCACAGCAAGCACAGCACAGCACAGCACAGCACAGCCCAGCTCAGCTCAGCTCAGCTCAGCTCAGCTCAGCTCAGCTCAGCTCAGCACAGCCCAGCTCAGCACAGCCCAGCGCAGCACAGCACAGCTCAGCTCAGCTAATCTCAGCTCACCTCAGCACAGCTCAGCTTAGCATAGCACAGCACAACATAGCTCAGCAGCTCGGCTCAGTTTAGCTCAGTTTGGATCAGTTCAGTTGGTTTCATGGGCTTCATGACGTTCCAGACTGTTCAAAGCAGCGACAACGTCGCCGAAGTGATCGGAAAGTCCGCGACGTGGCCTCACCTGGTCAATGTCTCCGTGGATCAGCTCCAGCTGGAAGTCTTGCTTGCGGAGATTGTTGGCGAGCTCTTCACTGTTCGCCTGCGCAGGTCACACGCCGACGCCGCGTGTTAGGACGGCGACAATGACAATGGTAGCATCCACAACATGACAAAAACGTCAGTGCGCTGGTTTTCGCAACACCAGACACTCATCCAGGGATGCCCCAGCAGCAGATCTGCAGTCCGTAATTAAGAGCACATCGGCGAAAACGTCACGTCGGTATGTGAAAACAAAGTTGCCCTTTGTTCCAACATTAATACCAATATTTAAAGCGGCTGTATACAATTGCGAAGACAAAATATCCGCGAAAGGATGAGCAATGATGCGGTTTCATCATCAGTACTTAACAAATGGGGCGTTCACTTGGGGGATATCGGCGAATCCCCCAAGAACTCAGGGAAAGATTCCGAACCTACGGTCTCAAATGGTATCAGCTGACAAACACAAAAGCTCCCGAAACAACTTACCTACTGAGGGACGCGCCTGGGAAGAAATCAAACATCCCATGCCCCACCCCCACTCGACTTATAATCAAGGAACAGCACTCCACCATTCTCTGCGGCGCGTGCTGGTACCCCTTGGCGGGCGACGAGCCAGAAGGTGGGTGAGCGACAACGCACTTTTCGGGTGACGAAGATGAGTACGCTGCCCTCCGAGGTAAAGGAGACGAGGTTGGTCATCAGCCACGCCCACTTGGGCGCGCCGGCGCCGGTCACCACCACACGCTGGGTCACGTCCTGATTCGCCTCGCCCAGGTCACCCTGCGGGACAGGCGGCGAACGTCAGGCTACACGTCGACGCAGCGCGCGGCCGACAAGGTGCGCTGTCATCATCGGCGGAGGGAAGACCAGGTGCACGATGGCGATCACACGTGCTGCGGCGCAAAAGGGATCTCGCCTGACGGTCACAAAGAGCAGGATTTTACGACACGCCGGCGCCGGCGTGTCATAAAATTACGCCGGCGAGCACCAATGTCCGCACGGTGAGCAAAAACAAATCAAAAGCGTGTCACGTGGTGAACATCGAGATAGGTCGGGCACCCATCTGCAGGAAAGCTCCGATTTCTTGTAGTTCATTACAGAACACACGTAACTAACACTAGTCTGGTGGCCGCGATCAGCACCCCGCCCGCCTCCATGCACGGCCAAAGCACACGCTGCTACCGTTGCGCAGCGACGTCCCCGGGAGAGTTCGGCTGACGGACGGCAGGGTGGACCGCCTGGTTAACAGCACGAGGCCAGCTGACGAATAGCACGAGACGGCAGCTGCTTACCGGCAGCAGCGATCGAGATCAGGATCACTAGGCCAGCACAGCCACTTCCAACAGCTGAATGTCAGCTGGGGCGCCGGCTGGTCAACAGCGGCGTACGCTAGGTGACCAACATGAGCCAGCGCGAGCCCATCAACGGCAGGACAGATCAGCTGATCAACAGCGGGAGTGTCGGAAGGTAAACAAAAAACAAACATACCTCCACTATCACGCACAAGGCCGATCAGCCGTCTCGAAAGGGAATTCGCTGGACACGACATCCCGCTCCCCAGCCGGCCAGCGCAGCTGATCAGCAGTCATGATCAGCCTGGTGGCAGGAGGAGCTCTCAGGTGTCCTCGGGCGCGCGTCAGCCACGATACGCCGCCGCCGCGGCCCCGCGCTGATAGAGGGCGACCGACGCGGCGCCCGTCGGACGGGCCGCAGTCCACCGCCTCCGTCGTCGCCGCCCGGTCGCGCCAGGCCATGTCAGGTCAGGCCGCAGCCGCCATGCGCGAGGAGGGACGCCGCCGGCTGGCTCCGGCTCTGGCTCTGCTCTGTCTGCTCGCCACGCCGTCAGGTGGGTTACCAGGGCAACCGCTCAGGTCGAGCGGGGCTGTCGGGCGCGTCGAGCAGCGCTGTTTGCTCTGCCCGCTGCGGTTGCCTGCTGTCCTCAGCTGCCCGGCGCCCTCGGCTGGCCGCTGTCTCCGGCTGACCGCGCCCTCCGGCTGCCCTCTGTCCTCGGCTGGCAACTGTTCTCGGCTGACCACTGTCCTCGACTGTTCATTGGTGTTTTCGGGCGCGTCGACTGTCCTTGACTGACCGCTGTCTCGGGCTGCCCGCTGTCCTCGGCTTACAACTGTTTTCAGCTGACCGTTGTCTCCGGCTGCCCGCTGTTCTCGGTTGACAACTGTCCTCGGCTGACTGCTGTCCTCGACTGACTGCTGTCCTCGACTGACCGTTATCTCCGGCTGACCACTGTCCGCGGCTGATTGCTATACCCGGCTGCCCGCTGTCCTCGGCTGACAACTGTCAGTTGACAACGGGCTGAACGCTGTCCCCGGCTGCGTGCGTGCGTGCATGCGTGCGTGCGTGCGTGCGTGCGTGCGTGCGTGCGTGCGTGTGTGTGTGTGTGTGTGTGTGTGTGTGTGTGTGCGTGTGTGTGTGTGTGTGTGTGTGTGTGCGTGTGTGTGTGTGTGTGTGTACTTTTGCGCGCGTGCGTGCGTGCGTGTAGGCATATCTCTCCGTCGTTGATGGCACGTCTCGGTCCTACCTGCAGCGTGTTTTTTTATACTTCAATACGCGCAATACCTTCAATTGACACACATGCAAGATGTACACGGTTCACAGACATAGAAAACCTGGCGTGGACACCACAACAAAACCCCTGATGAAAATCATCTGCATGTTCAGAACATGGAAACCTGGCGCCAAATCCGTACACGGAGAACATTGGAGACTCCAACACTCGCGCGATCACACATTCATTGGCTCCAACTAAACATTAATTGACCGAAGTCAATGGAAAAAAAATACAAGAAAATCATTTCCTCCAATCTGAGACGGTAGGAGTGAAGATCAGCCCCTTTTCCTTCTCTTGCACCAACTCTCAGCTAGTTCTCCAACAGACAGCTAGTCGTCATCCACATGCAGTCATGCGCTGGATATCACTGACAATGTCAGATTGTTTCAAGCACTATGTGCATAGAGGAAATTGCTGAGGACATCATTCTTCACGGTCATCATCACCCACCGGGCTACAAAAATAACTTTCCTAAGGCCACGGACGCGGCATAATGGTCTGATACCACTACCACGCCGAGCATCATGAACTTGTCTCTTTTGCAGCCAACGGGGCATCCTTGAACTCGATGGCATCGCAGCAAAAACTGGGAGCATCTGATATCATTCTAGAAATTCAAGCACAAGTGCATACAATGAATCAACATATGGAAGATTTCTCAAAGGCGTTGGACAACATCACAACAGTTGCACCCGCCACAACTACTCCCACCGCCAACACAATGACGGCCACATCTACCGACACCACAACGACGGACACCACACCAACCCCAGTGCATAAAATGAATCAACATATGGAAGATTTCTCAAAGGCGTTGGACAAGATCGCAACAGTTGCACCCGCCACAACCACTCCCACCGCCAACACACTGATGAGCGCATCTTCCAGCAGCACAACGACGGCCGCATCTACCAACACCACAACGACGAACACAACAGCGACTTGCACCACATCAACCGTGACATCGACGGTCACCACACCGACAAACACATCTACCCACACCACAACGACGGACACAACAGCGACTGGCACCACATCAACCGTGACATCGACGGTCACCACACCGACAGACACATCTACCCACACCACAACGACGGACACAACACCGACTGACACCACACCAACCGTGACATCGACGGTCACCACACCGACGGCCACATCTACCCACACCACAACGACGCCATCAAACAATCACGACTGCGAAGAAGTGCAAAACAACCTGACAACAATCCTGGCCAATTCAGCTAGGGCATTAGACATGGTTTCGGACAAGAGGTTTGAAAAACACACCCTCCAAGCGCTGAAGGTGAGCAATAACCAATTGGATGATGCCGTGAACTGCGTCGAAGCCAACAGCCTGAATCTGACCGATGGCATGAAACAGCACGTGCAGCTCCTTGTCATTGAGGCGAAAAAACACATCGCCCCGGCTCAGAACACCATCGACAACGTGGTCAATCCGAGCGGCCCTTCAGACGGCGTGCAACTCAGCTCGCCATATATGATCATCCTGATCGTGGTCAGCTGCTTGCTGGCCGTGACGTTGTTGGTTGGCGCGGCAGTCGTGGCGCACCGCGCCGTGCGCCGACCGGCCGGCGCCAGCAGAGGCGCGCACCACCGCCGCACCTCTTCCGCCGGACGCCACAACGCCGGCTATGAGCCGTCGCTGGACGACGGCGTCGAGCTGCGGCAGCGGCCGAGCCGGCCCGGCGAGCCGGCGTCGCGACGCCGCGGCCCGCAGCCGGCGCTGAGCGAGCCAGTGCTTCACGACGTGATGAGCGAGGAGCCGGTGCCGCAGATCATCCCGCGCGCACGCCCCATCAGCACCTGGAGCCGTGTCTGGGGCGGCGTGGTGCGCGACTACCAGCGCGCGCGCTCCTCTCTGCGCTCGGAGGCCACGAGGCCGGCAGAGCCGTTCGCGCCCGTCCGCCAGCAGGCCGACGCCGGCCGCGGACGCGGCGATGGCTATTACACGGCCTGGTAGTGGGTACAGCCGGCCGCGGCGCCGCGCACTCCGACCCGAACCCACAACGCCGGTGGAGCGGCCGCCGACGGCGCCTTCTGCGGACGGCTTGGTCGCCGCAGGCAGCGGTGTCCACGCAGCCTCTAGGATCGGACGGGATGGTGACGTTGACACACCGAACTACGCACCAAGCCTGTGAGAAAGTCCTCGACGGCTTTCAGCGGTCGCCTGTGATAATGACCCGTCGGCTGACTCCGCTGACAACTGTCGGTGAGGTCGGAGCGTTGCGGGTAAGGCGAGGCTTTTTGGGCCGCGGGTAGCGGCACACCAGGCGCGGCAGAGAGAACTCGGGCGGCGCCACAAGACGCCAACTTGCGCCTTCCTCTCGCCGGTAACGGTAAAGAGCTGACAGATTTCGCCACTGCGCATTTCAACTTGTTGCTTCTATGTTCAAATGGTGTCAAAAATCGTTCAGTGACACCATGGCAGTCAGGGCGCTGCATGAGACCCACCTACTCAGTGCTAGTTCTATGTAATCAGCGTAATCAGGCTCCTGCGTTACCACGTCAAATTTGGCCTCGTCTACCTGTCTCGAGCTTCTTTAGGTCGAATCTTAGTAATGTGGAGCCTAACACGAGGCACTGACGCGCACTAGCGCCCTGTTTTCAAGACGTGTCCACTTCGTTTCACACCGCTCGTGTCATGTACTGCGCAGTTGCTGTCGACCAATCACTCAGTGTTCGGTGTCATCAGCAGAATGTGATCGTGGCAGCCAGTGACGGCACTAATCTGTGAGAACTGATAAACCTGTCTCTGTGAGTTCAAGGCGGCCTAGGTTTGGGGGATTCACGAACTGTGAGGCGATGTGTTGCCAGCAATCAAAGACGCAAGCATCCAGAACTGATGTGAAAACTAAGCGCCACCCATGCTAACACGTTTGGGGTAGCGCTGTTCTACGAGCATGATATCGCAGGTCTGTTACCTGCAGCGCATGTTGGGGGCGTGACTTATCGGAGTAGCAGAATAAAAATAATAGATGATAGTTTGTTTTTGCATCGTTAATTCTCACAGCTTCCTGTACATAGCATCCTTTTGAGATGATCTGCTCACCAGAGACCAAACAGGTTCCAATGTGCCCAAGCAACGAAAGCACACCACATTTCCGGACCATTGACAGCCACCATGAAGCCTGCGGACCGCGTGCTGCCGCGTCTGTCAGGCGCTCGTTTCGTACCTCCAAGAGCCAAGCTCGAGAGTGAACCACAGTCACCTCTTTCGCCCAGCAAACAATTCACGAGCTTTATCTCCGAAAATCCCAATGTTGGCACAGACCGTCGAGTACAGTTCCGGTGCTATGGGTACCGCGATCCCTCCGATTTGATCACGTGACCCCCAGCCGGGTCAGGTTGCCCGGCGCTCGGTTCACGCGGCAATCGCCAAATGCTATTTTTTAGCATAAAATCACGCTCGTCAGCCTTATCTTTGCGTGATTCGCCGTCGAGTGCTCCAGTACAAAACTAAGACACAGCTATACTCAGTGGCGTATTGAGGGTGGGGCACCTGGGGCATGTGCTCCTCGCCGCAGTTTATCAACTTTCTACACATGCCAACACGAATGTCACTGAGCATTGACAATACAAAACCACAGCCGTCACGCAAAAAATAAACAGATCACAATTTAAACACCCCGTCCGAAACGCACGGTCAGCTCGTAATAATTGTACGGGCTTTTCGTCTCACCGACTGTCAGGGCCATTACGGGATGATGGGATGGCCTCACATACAACGTGGGATGCGGTGGAGGCGCGGAAGGGAGCCCAGGACCGTTTGGTCCAGCGCCGACCACCCTAACCACTATACCAACGCCGCCCCCAAATCAACATATCAGGACCATGTCATGTTATCATGCGCAACACATTGTGCACACAACTGCGAGCCTGCGACACGCTTAAGAGTGTTGGCGTTTTTGTTGTTTTTGTAAAACGCTGCGCGTTTTGCCTTCCCCCATTTCGCAATTCACTCATCAGTTTTTGTCTACGCTTGAAACATAAAGCCAACATTCTTGCTGGAGAGTAAAGGAAGTTCCGAGAGAAAGTATGACTCCGTGTCACCGCCATCGAAACGCAGAGAAGGCCACAACGAGGTTGACGATGACATCACAGCCTCATGCGAGAGCGCAGTCATCATCCCAGGTACGAGACAAGCCACCATCGACGCATGGGTGACACCACGTCGGGGCCATGGGTGACGCGGGAGGAAACACACCGTGACATGGCTGACCCGGACGACACCAGCCAAGGCCAGGTCGTGGCTGGCTCCGGGCTCAGCCTCGAGGTTCGTCGTTCTGACAGGGTGGAGGCCGCTCTGACAGGGTGGAGGCCGCTCTGACAGGGTTGAGGCCGCTCTGACAGGGTGGCGACCGCTCTGACAGGGTTGAGGCCGCTCTGACAGGCTGGCGGCCGCTCTGACAGGGTGGATGCCGCTCTGACAGGGTGGAGGCCGCTCTGACAGGGTGGAGGCCGCTCTGACAGGGTGGAGGCCGCTCTGACAGGGTGGCGGCCGCTCTGACAGGGTGGCGGCCGCTCGTGTCGGGCACGTTGTCGTGAGGTCAGCAGTGGGGCCGGGGGCGGCCGGCTCTATCGGCCGCACTATCTTATCGGACGGGCGCCGTACAGTGCAGGCATCAGCGCATCCTGATACACCGACACGGCCTGACGGGTTCCCGCACCGACCGGCAGGCGGCAGACGCGCAAACCCGCTTCAGATGTGGCGCCGAACCCCGTGTCGAACTGTGAGTGGGGCGGTAAGGAGACGGCAGGGGGGCACTGGTGCAACACTCGGGCGCGAGTTATCCACAGATATCTGCCACTGAGCCGGCACACGGCATTTCAAAAGGCTGGGACGACGAGTGCACCCACGACCAGCTTCGAAATAGAAGACCCGAGGCCGCAAGGACAGCAGGCCACTTCCAAGAGGACGAGGCTGGAAATGAAAAGTTTAAAGCTTTTCCAGGAAACTGGCAGCGCTCAACCAAAAACAAAAAAAAGTGGCAGATACGGGCAAGGATGTCTCAGGAGCTTCAAACTGACACTCTTCTCGTCCTTCGTGCAGTGGTGAAGAAAATATGCCGGGTCAATACAAGCCGCGTTGAGCGGCCTCAGTACAATGTCTCCGCGTACGCGTTGGATTGCACCTCACTTTGAAAACAACGAAAGCATTCGCTCGTCCAGTGAGTCCATAGCGATGAACTGATTTAACAGGCCTGAGCGACGCCTAACGCTTAACGCTGGCACTTAAGTCTTTCACGATTTAACATGCTAAGATGTATGCAGCATGCATAGCACTTATGTCTCTCGATGTCATTCTGCGGTTAAGGTCGTGGAGCGTACGTACCGGGAGAGCCCGGTTTGGCGTGGGTTTTGACAACCAATGCATGCTTTGTTGACGCAGCGGGGCCCGGAGAATTGACGCTACCTTGGTACAGTTTTCAGTTAGGCTTGATATCAGTGGTAACATTTCAACTAAGTCCTAATCTCTCCCATCGCTCCCAAACACACTATCACAAAGTCAGTGTGTTCACCCAGATCTCATGGCTGCGCAGCAAAATTCTGGCGTGAGATTCTATACCTTTCCAACTGCAAGGAATACATCAACTCGTCACTATACCGCAAAAAATGAGCCCACACTCCGTACTGGCTATACTTAAGATGTTAACGGTATTTATGTTCGTTGTCAATAAACACCCATAGCTCGGCACGGCCTGTATGCGACGCTCGTCGAGTTCTTTTTGCGGACATTCGGGCCGGATGCGGACTTGGACGATCTGATTGTCGTGATCACCGGTGTATTTTGTGTATCCCGTTTTTCACAACTACTACACACGGCACAGGCCCCAGTGTGAAGCACACAAAACCTGACGAGAAACACTACAGCAGGTATCTGTCAACCTGTCTCCTGGTGCCTATCGTACGTGTCTTTACCAATAAATCCGAGAAGATTGATGAAGTATGCATCCGAGGTCAAGGAAAAAGGAAAACTGCGACTACATCTTGACTGTTTTTACGGCGCGGCCAACTACTACGTGAGATCTAAAACACCCACCCACACCCATATATATATATATATATATATATATATATATATATATATATATATATATATACATATATATATATATATATATATATATATATATATCGTCGTGTTGAGAACTTTCAGAACAGAAAAGAGAAAGCAGTTACTAAGAACAAAAAACAACAAAAAACAAAACAGCGCGCCTCGAGCCAACAACCTATTTGCCACCAACTCGGCACCCAACTAGGAGCCAAGACCTCCGCGGTGGCGCAGGTGGCCCGGGACCGGCGCGGTGCCGGTATGGCGGCCAAGCGGGGGAGAGAGGACATCGGACCGTACCTGTATGATGCGCACGGGGTCAGTGAGCACGTCACGGGCCAGCTTCTCCACGCGCTTCTTAAAGGTGGCGCTGAAGAGCAGCGTCTGCCGGTCCGGCCGCACGTGATCACATATGGAGCGCACCTGCGGCTCTGCGGACAGACACAGACGGCGCCGTCAGGGCTTCAGGGATGGCACCATCAGGGCGTCACGAGCGGCACCGTCAGGGCTTCAGGCATGGCACCATCAGGGCCTCACGAGCGGCACCGTCAGGGCCTCAGGGATGGCACCATCAGGGCCTCACGAGCGGCACCGTCAGGGCTTCAGGGATAGCACCATCAGGACCTCACGAGCGGCAACGTCCAGGCCTTGGGGACGGCACC